GTCATTGCCTGATTCTGCCATCTTGCTCGCCAAGTATCCTGCTGCATTTAGCAATTACCCTGGGGTTTCTTCATCATCAAAGATTGATCATGCAACAGCATTGCATGCTGTTGTTGCTAAGAACAGCGATCAACGGAGTATGAATAGCATACCTAGTTTCCCTCAGAAGGATGTAAGTAGCAGCAGCAGTAATGCACTGCTGGATTTCCAAAGGTACATGAGTCATCATGATGCTACCAACAAAGTGCAGCAGCCGTTTGGGTTTGATTCGATTTCAAGTTTACAGCAACATGGAATGGCAGCGGCAGCAGTAGGAATGGGGATCGGTAGTATTACAGCAGTTAAAGGTGGAGGAGGTGGTGTTATCAGCCAGGCAGTTTCAGACCCTGTAGCGGCCATTAAAATGCACTTTGCCAAGAATGATCATCAATTTGGTGGTTCCCCAAATGGTGGGACTATAAATGTGTTAAGGCAGGATGATTCTACTAGTTGGAGAGGCAAGGGGGATGTGCTGAGGTAGTGAATCGGCTGGCTGAAGGGAAGGTCCCAGTGCCAATTGAATGTGTTTATGTTTGCCGTGCCCTGTATCATAGTTTTTGTATTTGTTTAATTAATGCAGTGATAGTGGACTGAGGGGGCGGATGGTTTCTCAAATCCGTCCTTTTGTCAGTAGGAGTAATTTAAGTAGGGAGGAGCGTTTGTAACAATTTCAGGCCAGTCCTTTTGTATTTGTTGTATTTGATGAAGAATACAGAAAATAATGTGCCCAGAAAAAAGGAGGTTGGGATTGGATCAGCAGAAGCACCTCCATCTATCTCTCTGGTATATTTCTAAATTCATTGGCATCTTCTATATCAGATCGGAAAGATCAGTACCTGGACTAGCTAGTAACTGCCTCCTTTTGGTACCCATGTGCGTAAAGTATCCTTCACCAGAATCCAGAGCAGAGCTGCACAGCTAGCAAGTCACTAGGACTACATATAATCTGCAGAAATAGACTAGATAGAGATATTAGGCTTATGCGACATGGCACACTGCTTGTGTTCCTAGGATGGGTGTATGTATCTCCTGGTAAAATACAAAGTATGCATTCTTACATTGAGGGGGTTTTTTTTGGGTGAAAAACTGAAATGGAACTCCCGACGAATGCTCCTCATATGTCATAATTGTACAATTGCTCAACATACCTAGACTAATGTGCAGTTTCTTTCCAAATCTCTCTCAAGCACCCAAACGTCACTCCATGCCAGAAGTGGAAAATCCTGGGTTAGAGAGATAAGGGATAATGACGATGATGATGACAGCTTAGTATAATAACCTGAGGCTGAAGCGTTGTAGATCCCTTGTGCCACACCAGGATAACACATCGTCCCAATTGGCTGCTTGATTACAACCTAAAAGAATGGACATTTTATATTGCTCGTACTGAAGACTACATCAAATGCACATCGCTTATCTGAGTTGATTTCTTACCATATCCTTGGTAGGGCTTTGAATACCTTTGAGATTTACCTTCCTTTGACAGGCTCCAAGCTGGTTTGACCATAGATAGGAAGAAGCAGATATTCGAGCATTTTGTATTAGATTATCTCAAACACTATGGCCTCCATCCCAGCAGTTTGAAATACAGAACACTAACTTCATGACAGTCTCCAACAAGACTCTACATGAGATTCTTAAATGATCTGATAGAATTCCACCCGTAATAACTTAATATTGGAACTTATTCCGTGCAGCTTGAAACTCGATCTTAACTCGAGGGCTAAGGGATCATAAAGTTCTAAAGAGAAGTTCCTCACCAACCAGTTGCCTTCGACGAGAGAGGTCCCTTGCCCTTCAGCTAAATATGCAGCAAGTGGAGTGTTGCACGCTTAGTCTTTGCGCAAAGCCATATTCCTAAAAGTTTGATGAAGCAATTAGTAAGCCTAAACAAAACTTTTGCAGATAGGTCAAACAAGCCATGGAGAAGCTGTTACAGGAAAACAGAAATGGAGCATGGAGGCATTTTTCATCACCCCATTACTAGCAGTCTAGCACCGGATATTGAATTGAGAAATGGTGGGGACATGATGAGATCTCTGGCTAGCTGCTGCAGAAGAGCTTTGGTTGTTCGCCAACCATTGGAGTTGAGTTAGAACGTTTCGCTGCTGAAGAAGTCCACCGGGCTAAACTTGCAAGCCATAAGGTTTGTTTAAAGCAACCTGAAGATCACATTAGCAACCAGCATTGATTCCTCTATAAGCTAAACCACCAAATACATATTAACCTATCATTCAACAATTTGCAAATCATAGTTACCATATCTATCATCTTCACTGCCAAAGCTCCATGGAAGCCTGTGATTGATCAATTCAGAACCTTACCTAAAAACAAGACACGAGCTTCCCTCTGTCAACAAATCATCAAGAGAAGAATCTATTGCATATGTATTCCCAGCGTAATACAATCATTGTTTCGTTATTGACAAAAAGAAACACCCGAGGACAGTGTTGGGTTCTTTAGCAACAACTCCGCCAACTTTTATATGCAACTACACACAGAGCAGCGATGTCAATTCACTCTTTCTCCCGGTAAAGTCCCTTTTCGCATCTCTTGCTAAAAACATTAACTTTAATGGCGGGAGAGGGAAATAACCTGCCCATTAGCAAATTAAGAGGTCGTTTTGAAAAATAAAAAGAGAGAAATTTCGAACTTTTTTGTGGGAAGGAATCCGTGGCACATACCCCTGCAGTGGAGCCGAATTCTTGTACTTGGTAGAGTAGAAGTCTATGAGATTCGATCCAGCAAATTCCCCGAATCAGTTTATTCACCGATCAAGAAAAAGTGGAAGAACATGAACAGTTAATTCCTTCAAACAAGCGGGGAAAAGAGGGAGCGGAGTGGGGACGTCGTTGTAGAACAAGCCGTCGTTGAGTTCTGGCCAAGGGCTCCCAAACGTCCGGCAGGGGAAGGAACATCAGCAGAAAAGAGTGTTCTTTTTTTGTTTTTGCCTTTAGTCACTCGAAGGTAGGATGAGAATTTCGACCTGACCAGATTCACCTGATTTGTTTGATCTGTTTTGCAGCGGGACGGGCGGGCATGACTACCTCTTATCGACCTGGCCTGACCCGCTTCATTCTTCACCCATTCTTGCCTAAATTACATGTATTTAAGATTTCCTCTTATTACATTATATTTTAGCTATAATAAAGTTGTAAATAAGTGAAAACCTCAATTTCTTTGAAATTTAACTACATTTTATCATATTATGGTTTCTTTCTTGTTCTTTTAATGAAAATAACGAATATTTCTAATGTTTTTCGCATAAATTACATACACATTGGGTCGACCTGACCCGACCCGCGTCCCATGATAAATTATCCGACCTGCCACAGGACGGGCATGGGTATCGAGATACCCGCCCCGGACCTGCCCTATTGTCATTCCTACTGGCAGGCAACGGAAAGTGGAGGAGGGAGAACTTTGATTTCAAGTCAAACGACAACATTAGCCCAACCTTTTTTACCAGCGTTGAATAACGCAGTAAAAAAAGACTGTTTATTACTTCGGAACAGACAAGGGACAATGTTATCATTCAGCAAGTCATTTACAAGCATGTTATTTCTCAAGTAGAAGAACCACATATGACTTGATTTGTGGTCATTCTTTCTTCGTAGTTATTTTTCTCGCCTTATTCTTGAAATTATTCATATGATTCCTCACCTATATTTGTACACATACTATGATGACTCTTTAAATAAAGTAATGTAGCTACAATTTGGGGCAAACATCACTTTCTAAAATAATTTGGTTTCAGTAGTATGTCAATCTCATGAAAAAATCAAGACATTACTGATTACAAATTAGAATGACTCGTCTACCATGCATTATGTTCATTTTTCCGTGTATTGCTACCTACAACCTATCTATTTACATTTATGTCATTGTGCTAGCTCATTTTGTAATTATGCTCGGCCGACAGAGGTACCGTAACAATTTGGGTCATGTCATGTCCAATCATACGCGTAACCTGCTTTTATCTTGCAAGTACTCTTGCTTAATATGTACTTAACTCATGTGCAACATACGCTCGAAATTGTTTATCATAAAGAATTTCGTTGTCCCTAATACTGTTTTACTTTAATTGTTATTTGAACAAGTAAAAACTATGTCTTAGTTCGAGTGAAGAAAATCTTTTTCTTCTGCATGTCCACGGAGTTTTGAAAAATCAACTATCTTAGATATCGATAGAGAGACAGAATTTTTTCGAACGCAAGCACACTCCTTCGTATACATAACAAATCCATTGATGAGAAGCAACTAGGGAAAGCTTGAGCACTATTCCTATTTTCTTTCATATCATTTTGTTTATAGGATATAAAAGCTATACAAATGTTTATACATGTTTTTACATTTATAATTGGAATTTTATTTTTAATTATATAATTTAAATTTATAAGATATTGTTATCTAAGAGAATCAATTTTATAATAAGTTTGTAACTTTCTAAACTTATTAATTAAATACTCTGCTATTGTGCCTTATCAAACACCATTAAATATTGTTATTGGGATACAAAAATCAAACTTTTGGTGCTCATTCTAGAATTAAATAAAAGAAAGGCAACGAATATGATGCAAAATCATAATATGTCCTATTTATTTTTTTATAAAAAATTATTTTATGCATGTACCATGCCGATTGTCTCAGGATGCGGCCAGTTTATATATCATGATACGTATGTGTCAATGTCAAACACATCATTTTAATTCCAACAGTCTGTATAAAACTTTGTACTCATCATCTTACTGTATTCTAGATTTCTAGTAGTATTTTTATTTATTTTGCTCATCCTATTGAGCATGCTCGAAGTCGTATGCTAAGCATATTGTGCAGGGATAGCGTATGGATGGCACGGTGCGGAAAACTAAACAAACTACCGATTCCTTCCAATTTGAGATTTAGCAAATCAGGACATTTCTGACAAAGTCGTCAAGATGTTGAAGAAGTCCAACTTGGCAACCAGCTTAGACAATTTCATCAAAGTTGCTACCTAACGTTTGACAGTTCAACCACTCCGGGCGGCAATCTTCATTTCATCAAACGAAAGAGATCTTAAAGATAAAAATACAAACCAATCTTTTTATTATTTTATTCCCTCCAACTCCGCCAATATCATGTCTTGCATAACCAAAATGACAGCCAGTCATTGAATACAAAAATCGAACGAACCAAACAACCTTTCTGCTGCAAATTACGATGGATAAAGATGGTGATTGAAGTCTTCACAACAACAAGCACTCGGATAGAGGTGATGCATTTAGCAGATCACATTGGCAGCTGCAGGAGTAATCCCGGCTCCATGAATGGCGGCTGGATACTCGATCAGATTGCCACCGTGCCCAGTTTTCACAGCAATGGGTTGTTGGTGTACGGATGAGGAAGAGTGATGCACACGAGTTTCGACCAAAGTGATCTCCTGCCCAGCTTTAGCCTTTGCCTTCAGGCGGTAGCGTTCTGCCCTTGAACCAATAACTTGACCTAATATCGATGCTGCGATGGTGAACGCCATGGCTGATTTGGGCATCAGTACGGATTTCCTGAGCATCCCTAGGACGGGAACTGCAGCATGGACGGCTGCAAACCACGAGAGGGAGAATTTCTTGGTGTGTTCCCTCCATACACCCAGGGGGACATTTGCAGCCATCCCTAGCATCCCAATCACCAGTATTTTCGAGGGTAGAGGTTGTGGCCTAAGATTCTTTGCAAAGGCAGTCCGTGCTATAGCTGCTCTGGCAGCAACAATTGCAGGCGGGCACTTGATCTTAACACCAGGTGGCGGCTGGAATGCTTTGGCAACGAGTGGCAGGACGCTGCCGACTGCTCGATATGATTTTGCTATCGGGCAGTTCCCGTTTTGCAGCCATTCATTGCTCATTGACTCATGCTCCGAGTTTCCTCCCTGAAAAGAATTGATCACAAAGTGGAGTCAAGGAGAGATTTCATGACACATTCATTCGCATCACAAGTGGATGATAGGGGGGAGGGGGTGAAACTTGAGATCAATATACCTGTGAGCCTTTTTTGGATGATTTAGAGTTCTTTTTGCTCTGACTGTTGTTCCACTTCTTAGAGAATGCATCGAAACTAAAGGGTCCACCAGGGCCAAAAGATGAGAGACTGATCGTGGCTGCCTTTGCAGCTAATGGGTTAAATTCAGGACGGGTTTGCAGGGGGGTCTCAATTCTGTCCAAGATCGGGAATGATCTTTCGGACAGTGGGACTACTCCATCTTGTCCATGGAATAGCCTGAATGTCGAATCAAAATTAGGGCCATCTTCGAAAATAGGACCTTTGCCAGAACGCCCCTGGAAAAGAAGTCAGGTAAACAGTTAAAGATTGCAACTTGAAGAAGATCATCATAAATTGAGCCAGTAAGGAATTGGACATAGACAACTTACAGGCATCGGGAAGGGCATGGCCGAGGAGAAGGAAAAATTAGTTGGCTCATTGATATTTCTCAAAAATGGACACCTAAGCATGTCTACCGGGGAAGGGTCCTCGTTTAAGCCTCTGAATAAGAAATCCATCTTACTGCCGGAAAGCTACCTGCATAAAGAAGAAAAAGCTTTAAGCACCTACGCTCTCCACCGGATCGTAAGCAATAACATCAACCATGTCACCAGAAGTTGACAATTCTTTAGGCATCAAACTTAAGGTACATCAACATGCTAATTAACAAAAGAAGCAACGAATATTTCTAAAGCTGGAAACTTCAAGCAATTTTTTGCATAGAAGGATAGAAGATCTGTATGAAAACTACTGATGCTTATACTATCCCAACTAGTTAAGATGTAATCATATACGACATAGAATAGAAATTCAAATGACAAGCACAGTGAACCTGGACCAGATCCCAAGATCACAACAGAGCACTTAGAATCCATAAAAGATAAATTCCATAATAGACAAAGCAACTGCTGATGAAGACTGGCGGGAATCAACAGAGTCGATGATTCTTACAGGAAGAGCTAGACCAAAATCAACAGAAAAGCTACCATCCGCGCAATCAAGTGAAATCAACTTGCGAAATTATTAATAACTGAGCCACCTAAACCCATCAACTTCTGGGCGACCAAAACACTTGCAAAGCAAGCTAATTTATGAACTTTAACCAAGAAGTGAATCAATTGATCACAATTCCTCAATAGTCAATACCCAGAGAGAGAAATCCTCAAAACTATACAGAAGAAAAACCAACAAAACAAAGAACCCAGAAACCAGAACAAGCCAGGGATCTCAGAAACAAAATTTGCAGAATACCCATTTCTTAAAGTCAAAAGAGGGGAAGCAATCAAGCCGGTGACGGTTACGAAACTGACAGCACAAGTCGAAGAATGCATTACATACCTTACGATTGAAGGTAAACCCGGAAAAGGGGAAGAGCACTGGAGAGAGTGGAAAATGAATTCGGACCGGCGAGGGACAGGGATGTGGCGATGAAAAAGCTGAGACGAAGCAAGGAATATGAGAAGAGGGGTTAGGTGGAAGAGATGCGAGAACAAAGAAGGCGTAGATTCCTCTTCTCTCCAAAATCTATTGATCTGGTTTAAAGAGAAAACAGAGGCCGGGGTTTGTAGGAAGGGAACAGAGAGAGAAACGACGAGGGAAGAAGAAACAGCTGCCGTGCTTAGCACACGCCTGATGACTTCTTCGTCTCAGCGGAAGAGGAAAGGCGTTCGGTTCAAACCCTTGAAATTGGGAATTGGGGGAAAAATGGTCGTAGTTGTTAATTTGGTTTGGGTTTGGTCAGCGATGGCAGCAAGGGAGGGAAATTGCCAACTGCCATGATAAATGCTCGTTTTTTTCTTTATAATTATTGTAACACCCTAGCTCGGCCGAGCATTAAATTTACCAAAATGCCCTTAAGTAATCAAGATCACTCAAAATGAAAATAATACAGAAAAATAATTTCTAAATCACCGTAGGAAAATCCCTCTTAACAAATCATAAATGAGCATCAGTCTCAAGCCTACTAATAAAAGTACAAAAGTGAAAGAGTTCACTTGGAATCTTTTGCCATCACTAACCCTTGTGACGATGACATCCTGAGCAACAGCTTTCTCTTGACCAGTGGTCTGAATGCTCCTGCTTTCTTGTACCTCCTGAGTGCGGGCGATGGGGTCAGTCCTAATCCTAATTTCGTTATCATACTTAAATGGAAAGCCATGCACATGCAATGCTTATGGTATGTTATTGGGTACATTAGTAAAAGTATCTTATTATTAACATATTCTTGCTTATAATCTTTTCTTCTTGCTTAACTTGATATGGGATCCCGCCCTCGACCTAACTAGCACATCCGTCCGGCACCAACGTATCATGAACATAACCTCCTCATCTACAAGGAGTAACATAGCTTACCTCCCCATCTACAGGGAGTAGTGGTGACCGCGTCCGGCACCGATCGTGACATACATATCATGACCCCTCATCTACAAGGTGCTCCTCATCTACAAGGAGTAAGGTGACCGTGTGCAACTAGTTAAGGGAGGGTTCTTATTTTTACTTAATAACTTGATATCTTATACGTACTTGCTTGAAAACCTCTCACTCCATGGAGAGACATACTTAATCTTATACTTGCTTACTTGACTTGAGAAGTTTGAGCTTAATTAGGTGATCTCCCGCACAATGGGAAGATACAAGCTTATTAACTTGAACTTAATTAGCTTATAATTGAACTTGCATTTGGTTGACTCATAACGTAGTTTACATATGCTTCATGATGCTATGCATACATAAACGTAAAGACTGAACGTAAACAAATCAACTTAATATGAAAGCATATAAGGATGGACTGAACTAAAGCAAGAACTGAAATGCATAATATGAACTTAAATGCATATACTGATAACGAAAACTACTCTAGCCCCCTTTAACCACGCACCTTAATTTCAAGTCGATTATTAACTTATGTCCCACTTTGATGATCCCAAACGTACTTATAGGCCTTGTACGCGCAGTTTTCCTTCTTCCTTCACCTTTATCCTAGGGATAGAACACGTACATCTCACTTGGTTATGCACCCGTATACTTGCTTTATAGTAATAGTCCATCTTTGATTTTAACAATTCAACCCCCCTTATAATAATTAACCTATCATGCATTCTATGCACGTAACTAAACTTAGTTACTAACTTGCAATGGCTTTTGTTTCTAACCTGTAACCAGGCTTCTTTGGGTTAATAATCCATCAACCTACACTTTACTTGCATTCATCCATATATATATATATGTAAGGATTATAACCCACTCCTTTAACTAAAGACCTACTGCAAGCTCCCACAACCATTAATATCAACTGATTCTATAAATTTAAGGGACGAGGATAAATCCCTTACCTCCAGCACCTAGCCCAAAGCACGATTTTGAGGATCCCCTAATGTCAATTCCTCGTTGTCGATCGTTGTTCGAGCTCCTGTAATCCCGCCGCCGAAACTATGGACGAGAGAGGATGATCCCAAGCAACTGTGCCCGACGAACAGAGGACACGACGTACGGAGGAAACGGTGTCGCTCCCCGGCTTGCGTCTCTGTCGGCTGTCGTTTTCGTTGGGGAGCTCGTTTGCTACTAGTGGAGGGAGGAGTTGTACGGAGGGAGGGGAGGTCGGAGATGGGAACTGAGGTGGCGGTGGTGGTTGATCGGCGGAGGCAAGGCGGCGTTGATGCTTGGTTTTATTGGTTTAGGGTTCTCCTTTCTACGGTTTGGCCACTAGGTTTAGTTTTTATATAAATATATCCACATGCATTGAGAGGGAGAAATCCCCACCTGTTGCCGCACTAGTTTAGGGTTAGATAGAGTTAATTAATTAATTAATCATAATAACTAAATGAGGGTAAATTTGGAAATTCATGAAAATTTTAGGTACCGGGTGTGACATTTCCCTCCCCCTTAAGAAAATTTCGTCCTCGAAATTGAGATCATACTAACATAAAACTTTGAATATTCACTCTTATACTACTGATATTATAATGCTACTAACCGACAATACTAGACTAGAAACCGATTCAAATAATCAAGAACAAATAGTTCCATCTCATAGTCTTTCAATCACCCCATGGTCACTTCAAAGCGTTGGTTCATCCTTTCCATCTTCTCCACAGCCACTGGCCATCTTTTCCATAGCAAAGACTCTTGGCCGTCCACCCGCTCTGGACATCTGGCTCTGATCACGACTGACATTGTGGGTATTGGTGCCATTGAAACGTCCACCATTGTTGTTGCTGTCGAAGTTGTTAGTCCGGCCACTGAACCTACTTCCTGACTGTGCCCTACCCCCAGCTACTGATGGCTCAGAAATAACTCTTGTATGGTCTGCAAGTCGTGGGCAATTCCACTTTATATGTCCCGGCTCTCCGCACTCAAAACAGACACCCATATTACGCCTGCACTCACCCAGATGACGCTTGTCACATTTGGGGCATAGTGGATATAGTTGTTGTGTTGGTGCATACCTCGTGGAGATCTCCTGGCTCCAGGACTGCTGTTGGCTAGATAAACCAGATCCCCTCTTGAAAGGTTGGGTCGAGTAAGTCGTGGCCCCAGAGTTGGTTGGCTCCTTCCTCTTCTTCGTACCAAGCCTCGCATCCCTCTCCTGTTCAGCCATCTTCTCATCCCTCTCAATGCGAAGGGCAGCTCGGTATGCAGTGGCTTGAGATGCCCTCTCTGCTTCTCCCATACATTTTCTTAGTTCTGCTCTCAAACCCCGAACATAACGATCTCGCATCCCTGCTGCAGTCCGGTACACGGGATCAGCATACTTGCACAACTTCTTGAATAGCTCTGTGTATTCCGTGACACTCTGCCCCCACTGTTGCTCCAACTTCATGAAATCCTCCCTCTTATCGTCCCGGACGGTTTGGGGGATGTACTCATCGAGGAACATCTTCACAAACTGGTTCCAGGTGATCTCAAGAGGTACCACTTCACTCTCCGGCTGGAGATGCCACCAATCCCTAGCAGTTCCCTGGAGCACGTGGACAGCCATGGCGATCCTATCCTCACCATTATCAATACGGAGCTCATCCAAAGTCCGAGTGAGTTTCAACAGCCATGCATCGACAATGTCGGGGTCAGAGGATCCCTCGAAGTCAACCACCCCCATTTTCCTAAGCAAGGTATAGTTTGGGGGCGGCCGCCGACCATCACCCTGACGAGAGCTCTCGCTATTCATACTCCTACATAAGTTCAATGACATTGTGTCAGAACCTTGGAAACATTGCACTTGTTAGTAGACGAGACTGGATGCTCTAAAATAATTTTAGGTTTACTTGAAAACTTGTTGAAAACTTCTTAAAACCTTAAATCTTAATACTCGTAGGAAACATGGAGACCGACTTCCCAGTATCTCACTTACAAAGTGAAGACAGAGGGAGACCAGGCTCTGATACCAAAATGTAACACCCTAGCTCGGCCGAGCATTAAATTTACCAAAATGCCCTTAAGTAATCAAGATCACTCAAAATGGAAATAATACAGAAAAATAACCTCTAAATCACCGTAGGAAAATCCCTCTTAACAAATCATAAATGAGCATCAGTCTCAAGCCTACTAATAAAAGTACAAAAGTGAAAGAGTTCACTTGGAATCTTTTGCCATCACTAACCCTTGTGACGATGACATCCTGAGCAACAGCTTTCTCTTGACCAGTGGTCTGAATGCTCCTGCTTTCTTGTACCTCCTGAGTGCGGGCGATGGGGTCAGTCCTAATCCTAATTTCGTTATCATACTTAAATGGAAAGCCATGCACATGCAATGCTTATGGTATGTTATTGGGTACATTAGTAAAAGTATCTTATTATTAACATATTCTTGCTTATAATCTTTTCTTCTTGCTTAACTTGATATGGGATCCCGCCCTCGACCTAACTAGCACATCCGTCCGGCACCAACGTATCATGAACATAACCTCCTCATCTACAAGGAGTAACATAGCTTACCTCCCCATCTACAGGGAGTAGTGGTGACCGCGTCCGGCACCGATCGTGACATACATATCATGACCCCTCATCTACAAGGTGCTCCTCATCTACAAGGAGTAAGGTGACCGTGTGCAACTAGTTAAGGGAGGGTTCTTATTTTTACTTAATAACTTGATATCTTATACGTACTTGCTTGAAAACCTCTCACTCCATGGAGAGACATACTTAATCTTATACTTGCTTACTTGACTTGAGAAGTTTGAGCTTAATTAGGTGATCTCCCGCACAATGGGAAGATACAAGCTTATTAACTTGAACTTAATTAGCTTATAATTGAACTTGCATTTGGTTGACTCATAACGTAGTTTACATATGCTTCATGATGCTATGCATACATAAACGTAAAGACTGAACGTAAACAAATCAACTTAATATGAAAGCATATAAGGATGGACTGAACTAAAGCAAGAACTGAAATGCATAATATGAACTTAAATGCATATACTGATAACGAAAACTACTCTAGCCCCCTTTAACCACGCACCTTAATTTCAAGTCGATTATTAACTTATGTCCCACTTTGATGATCCCAAACGTACTTATAGGCCTTGTACGCGCAGTTTTCCTTCTTCCTTCACCTTTATCCTAGGGATAGAACACGTACATCTCACTTGGTTATGCACCCGTATACTTGCTTTATAGTAATAGTCCATCTTTGATTTTAACAATTCAACCCCCCTTATAATAATTAACCTATCATGCATTCTATGCACGTAACTAAACTTAGTTACTAACTTGCAATGGCTTTTGTTTCTAACCTGTAACCAGGCTTCTTTGGGTTAATAATCCATCAACCTACACTTTACTTGCATTCATCCATATATATATATATGTAAGGATTATAACCCACTCCTTTAACTAAAGACCTACTGCAAGCTCCCACAACCATTAATATCAACTGATTCTATAAATTTAAGGGACGAGGATAAATCCCTTACCTCCAGCACCTAGCCCAAAGCACGATTTTGAGGATCCCCTAATGTCAATTCCTCGTTGTCGATCGTTGTTCGAGCTCCTGTAATCCCGCCGCCGAAACTATGGACGAGAGAGGATGATCCCAAGCAACTGTGCCCGACGAACAGAGGACACGACGTACGGAGGAAACGGTGTCGCTCCCCGGCTTGCGTCTCTGTCGGCTGTCGTTTTCGTTGGGGAGCTCGTTTGCTACTAGTGGAGGGAGGAGTTGTACGGAGGGAGGGGAGGTCGGAGATGGGAACTGAGGTGGCGGTGGTGGTTGATCGGCGGAGGCAAGGCGGCGTTGATGCTTGGTTTTATTGGTTTAGGGTTCTCCTTTCTACGGTTTGGCCACTAGGTTTAGTTTTTATATAAATATATCCACATGCATTGAGAGGGAGAAATCCCCACCTGTTGCCGCACTAGTTTAGGGTTAGATAGAGTTAATTAATTAATTAATCATAATAACTAAATGAGGGTAAATTTGGAAATTCATGAAAATTTTAGGTACCGGGTGTGACAATTATTGTGTCTCTTATTTTTTATTAATATATTTTTTTTAATGTTGCCATCCTCGTCTTTGTCTTGTACTCTTGTTTCATGCTCTGTTATTTTTAATATTTTCCCAGGATGTAAATTTCCTCCATTATCAGCGCAATTGGAATGTGGTGTGTTATACCCATAGAAAGATAATTTTGCTATTTTTTTATGAAACATTTTGCATTTTTTATCATTTACCCAAAAGAGAAAAATCAAAGCAAAATCGTGTTGTTTATCATCATATCATATCCAACTTTAATGTAGACATGTATAATGTTGACTAAAAGAAAATTTACACATATTAATGGTGCGGTGTTGTAGAGTGGGACACATGAATTCTATCTTCAATCACCTAGTTCTTGGATATCTAGATCTTATCGACCCCGAAATAAAAATGTAGTCTGAGGCCAACATATATTAAGGATATTTTTTCGTCCCCCCTGAGCGAGAGGTTAATCTAAGAAAAATTGCATCACAATTCGCTTAACCAATACAAAACCAATCGTACATCTTTCTTGGTATATCCAGATAATAGGTAGGAGCATAAACTGAAACATTCTAGAGCTACAAAGTCGCTTAACTAACACAAAACCAATTTCAATAAATATTTTCTTCTCGATTATGAAAGCGAGTAGCCACGTGTCTCTACATACAAACCAAAACTAAACCTTCTCCTACTCTGCCTCGCCTAACTTCATTTCATTCCCTCAAGGATGATCCCTTTAATTAGTTATACTAGTCTTAAATGAAAACAACAACCATGGTAGCTACTTCGGCGCACTCACTTTTTTGGGTGCACTGAGTGTCCATAATACATCAAATTTCGAATTTCAATTAGTACTCTCAATCTAATATGATGATATGACATAGAATCATAACAAATCAATCTATTACCCTAACCCCTTAACCTTCAATTTTGAATCCCAACCCAAAATCCCAAATTGTAAACCTAAACCCTAACCCTAAATCCCTAAATCCTAAATCCTTCAAATTAAAGTAAATTTTGAATGATTTTTTTTTCAAATTCATGTGCTTCTTGTTCATAATTCATAAGCAACAATTGATACCGTTTTGACATGAATCACATGCTCAGAATGATAATTCTGAGGTGGGTGCACTGTGGGTGCACCGAATACGCCACCCAACAACCATTAGTAATAATAATAAAAATTGAAAAATACACTGATAGTAGCTTCACGAACCCTGCAAAGTTGACCAATTAATCTAACACTCGACTCCACTACATAAATATCGTTATTGCAAATCTTGACGTCTTCAGTATGATGTTAAGCAAGGCATACAAGTAAATATTAATCTAAATGAAGTCATTTGCCGAGTGGTAACATATGCTTGAACATTTTATGTAGTTTGTATTATTGCCTTTAAAATCAAAGGTTCTCACTCTGTCAATCTATTAAAGTTATTATTTTTTTGCCAACAATTAACTTAAATAAATTAAATAGAACCAATGGTAGTTTATTGATGAACCGGGATGGTTGACAAACTCCTTGTTTTCTAACTTACAAGTTACAATAAACATTACCCTAACCTAAAAATTGTTTAAAGAAAAATGGGACCAATCTAATTTCTCACTTTAGTAAGTGGTTTTTCTGCTCCATAGACTAGTGGAGTAGTGGGCAGTTGCTGCACCAGTAAGCATCATTAAATAGTTCCGCTTCTGGAAGCATCGAAGATGCCGAAACCTTACCTGCCATTGTTGAAATTGAAAATAAAAACACGAGGCAATAGCATTAGCAATGCAGCTTCATTGGTGGAAAGCAAACCTGCCAAATCCTGCACTCATATGCTATTTGCTTTGCTATCCCACACACCTTCAAAATCAAATACAAAAATCTTTGCTCAGTTGTTTTTTTCTTCCAGGATTGTGGTTCATGTTTGGCTTTCACCCACACACATAGCTTCTACCTTCTGGTCGAAATTTTTGAAGAAGTGATAACTCCTCGCGCATATTCCATATTGACAAAATACACGATAGGTTTATGATTTATGTGGATCGTCCAACCGTAACTAACAAGATGTATTTTGGTGTGAAATGAAGAAGTTCTTATAAAAATTTCGAAGTTAAACACTGCTTAGTGTGGAGCAGTGCAAAAATGAGTAACATGTCTTGAAATCATCATAATGCGTCCAAAAACAAGGCCGTACATGATAGGCCCAAAGCATACAAAATTTTGTTAAGAAAGAAAAGCAATTCATTCAAATTATAATTAAAAAAAAGGTGAAATAATGACATCGATTTACTTTAATTGATGTTGAACCGCTACAATCATCATATAATTTTGCAAATACTATAAATATGAGGTTGGATATATATATATATATATATATATATATATATATATATATATATATATGATGTCGTCTTCGGTGCACTCACTTTTTTGGGTGCGTTCAGTGCACTCGCTTCATAACCATCATTTTAAACATGCGATTTATGTAAAAATGACGTCAATCATCACTTATGATGTGATGAACAATAACGCACATGAATTTGCACAAAAACCATTGAAGATTTACTTGAATTTGAAGGATTTAGAGTTTAGAGATTTAGGGTTAGGGTTAGGGTTTACAATTTGGAGTTTAGGGATATAACTCAAAATTGGAGGTCTAAGGCTTAGGGTATTCGGCTAATTAGTTGTTATCATATGTTATATCATCATATTATACTAATTCTACAAATTAAAATTCAAAATCCGACTCCTTAAGACTAGTTTTTGAGTTGGGTGCATTGAACGCACCCATTTTTGTGAGTGCTCCGAAGTAGTCACCATATATATATATGCACTCACAAAAATGGGTGCGTTCAATGCACCCAACTCAAAAACTAGTCTTAAGGAGTCGGATTTTGAATTTTAATTTGTAGAATTAGTATAATATGATGATATAACATATGATACAACTAATTAGTGGATTACCCTAAGTCCTAGACCTCCAATTTTGAGTTCTATCCCTAAACCCCAAACTATAAACCCTAACCCTAACCCTAGATCGTTAAACTCTAAATCCTTCAAATTAAAGCAAATCTTTCATGGTTTTTGTGCAAATTCATGTGCGTTATTGTTCATCACATCATAAGTGATGATTGACATCATTTTGACATAAATCTCATGTTTAAAATGACGATTATGAAGCGAGTGCACTGAATGCACCCAAAAAAGTGAGTGCACCGAAGACGCCACCATATATATATATATATATATATATATATATCAAATATATGTTAATTAAGTGCTTTGAATCTGAAATCTTTAAGTTCAAGACGAATGGTATTAATACTAAATCAAATCTTTGTTCGCAAATAACTTTAAAAGGTTGTTGAGAGTGGAAATGAGTAGAAATTATGACATACTTTGTGCCCTCGCGTTTAGATCAAGGAAAAAGTGTTGGCTGCTTTTAGTTGAGCGGTTTAGTTTGGCTACAGACATAATTACTTGCTCCATCACCAACATGTCACAATTCACAAATTCCATACAAGCAATCAATTAGTCTGCAGTTGAGTCCAACAAATGAAGCAGCACATAAGAAGGCCTGCAGATAATATGAGTAAAGCTTTCCTAAAGCTCGGCATTTATGTGTGTTATATATCTGGTGGTGTTCTGTAATCCCTTGCCATTTTTAGAGACTGCTAAACTACAGACAACTGATCCAAGCATAATGTTTCTCAAGGTTTGGTAAGAGACATGCACATGATGTGGCTAGATAGCTAGCTAGGCAATGGCCAATGGCTTGTCCTCAAGAAATGATCTGAAAAGAATGAAGGCTTGTCGAGGGCGATGGAGAGGCACTTCATGTCCTGCTCCCGTCACTGTCACGAACGTGAGCCCTTTGTAAACTTGGCTCCATCCGCCAACCTGTGAACAGAAAATGCAGCTGATGATTAAGATGTACAAACAAAGCTTTGGAGCAACGGAAGTTATTGATACGCTGATGAAGATTTATGGTCTGGAAGAAGGGAACAAGTGTGTTACTTACCCTCCCATTGTCGTACCAAGGATACCAGTTGGTGATGGTGGGAAGCTTCAGTGCATCAATGGAGTATCTCGTTGCAGTCACGGGTACCACTGAATCTGTGTCTCCGCTGATGGAAAACAATTCCAACAGAAGAACAAAGCTTAGCTTCAACTGTAAACAGGCAAGTTTTCAGCATTTCGTTATGAGCACTTCATCAGGGTATATTATTCCACAAATTTTCAATCACAAGCAGTGATCCATGTATTAATGATGCAGACTGAATCTGGAAACAATTCTTGTCAATCTCATCAGAGGTAGGTAATTGCATTTCTGTGCCTTCTGCAATTTGCCAGATCACTCTGGACGAAAAGTAGTGAATCGACTTGTACCTAACGATGGGCCAAGCAAACACACAGATTTTCGGATGTTGCAATACAACCATCATATATTTAGATAGACCACGGTCATAATTTGAATTGAGGAGGTTCTGGGTAGCCTAGCAGCAGATTCAGTTCAAGAGAGTGGTTCAACAACCAGCCACTATCAAGATTTTCAGACTAACTACTCAAAAAGAACATTCCAGGTCAGCCAGAGTTTCCAAGAGTGGGCTGCACAGAACCTCTATCCAGAGGAAAACAGCTGTATGCAGTAACTAGGCTGCTGGCATGAGATATTCGTAGTCAAGGGGTATGCATCAATCCAGCCATATGCAAAAGGTAAAGTGGCGAACTTACCTGTAAACCCAAATCTTCACACCAGCAGCAATGAGTTCCTTATATATAGGAAGCATGGATAGAGGGGAATCTCCCCAGTAGATGCCCACAATGTCGCTGAAGATGAAAAAGCGGAGAGAGTTCAGTCAGTGATAAGATTTATGGATTTTACCATCTTAAGCAAAACTTAAGAGGCAAGATTATAGAATGGACCTGCATGTTTCCCATGCGTGTGGAAGCCTAGTAACATTCGCATGGAGTGCTTTCTGAACTTCAGGGAGATTGAAGTACACTGTAGAATGCCTCTCGGTACATGGATCATATGCTCTTGACATCCATGGCTGAGGTCCAAAATAACAGGACAAAGCCAAATGAGAATGAGCAATGCGTTAGCTGAGAATAATGGTTAAAATGATGAGACAGTCCAACAGATCAGGCCAAGCTGAGAATAATGGTTAAAATGAAGAAGAGAATAAACAAAGGAATGATGAGACCCATTTCTCAGCATGCAACATAATAAAACATAGAACAGACATTTTACATACGATTCAAAAACTTAAATTCATGAAGAGATTCCATTGTGATTACTTGCTACTATTCCCTAAGTTCAACTATCTAGGTCTTTGCTGTTTCTTGTTTTGCACATTGAGTTCTACACTCAAAAGATTTAAGGGATGAGAGAGTGCTTACATAATGACCCCTTAAGTTGCGCTTCAGTGATTCAGTGGTAGAACAAGGTTTAGTGAAAATGCTATATGGATCAATGTTTCCCTGCTCGATCTCTGCAGTTTTGAGGGCCTTTATGCAATCTGCAGATGGGTGTTCAGATGACCCTGTATCACAACGATCACGTAGCAATTTGTAGGTAGAATCTGAAATTAGACCATGAGTCCACCAATACTCAAATGTGCCAACATAATCATGGTAATCATCTGTAACTGCATTCCCCACCTATATAATGACAGAAGATTGCTGATGTAAGACTTCCCCTTTTCAATTTTCATGATAACTAGTGTGCCTTAGTTGAACAATGGAGTTCAGATGTTACAGTAAGGAGAGGCAGAAGTCTTACCAAGAAACCCTTAAAGTTAATCACAGGATTCTTAACACCAATGTTCCTTTCATAAATAATCTGAGACAATTGAGGAACGTAGTGTCCTGCAACACAAAAAAGGAAAATCAAAATTTTAAATCCATCTAGGATGAAAGTTTGTTATGCTGAAGTAGTACAAATGAGATGGAAAGGAATTATCATGCGAGAAAAATGAAGGAAAAGAATCCAACCTGCATAGCTTTCTCCAGCAATGTAGAAATCTCTGTGTTTGTACTGAGGAAACCTCTCAAACCAATTGATAAGAAATGTATAAGAATCTTCCGCTGCAGAAAGAATCCAGATTCCCAAAGTTCTTAGCAGAGGGAAGTGATGCTCAAAGTTTAAAGCTTTCCAATTGCTCTACACTGATAGCTCCAAAAGGCAAAACAAACTTACCAGTGCTATTGTCACCAGCGGTGTAATAATCTGCTGTCGTATTAGAATAGGAAAACCCAACACCAGCGGGGGATTCAAGGAACAACAAATTGGCCACTGCCGCCACAGAAGCAACAACAAACAACAACCGTGCAACAACGTGAGAAAAACACATGACTAGAGAAGAGAACACAGTGGCAAAAAAAAAAAAAAAAAGAATATGATTTAGTTGGTCGAGATGGAGAAGACATACAATTGTTCCAAGAATAAGGGTTCAAGTAAAGAGTTTTGCCGTCTGGCCTGATGTGGAAGGGTCCGATTTCCTCAGCTGCTCCATAAGCAACAGAAGAGCAACCAGGACCACCATTGAGCCATAGGACAAGTGGCCTTGATTCGGGCTGCCTACTGGCCGGAGACTCTGTAAACCAATAGAACAAAGCCCTCCCAGCTTTCTGGTTCACAGTAACGTAACCTGAGTACTGATTGAAATCCACATTTTCAGGCTGCCCAGGCAAAGAAGTAATCTTGTCTCTCTTCTGATCTTGAAGTGGGGAAGATGTGCAGATACAGAAGAGAGAAAAGAAAGAGAGACACAGAACAAAGAGTATGGAATGACCCATCAATCGATCAAATCCACAGATGGTGGAGAACTAACAAAAGAAATACCTTTGGTTCTTGGTGGTGAATAAAATGAAGTTCTCTACCCTCTATGTACAAAATCACGTTAAATAAGGCTAATAAGAACAAAAGGCAGCACACCCCTCACTTCCCACAAGCAAACAAAGACGAGAGCAGCAAAAGATAATTAACTGCTCACACAAATCAAAGAATACGAGTTGGGTTTCAAGTAGCCTGACCAATGCATCAGCAGCTGAACCCAGATCCCCAGAACTGAAGTCTCTTGGCTGAGATTATCAGAGAAGAGAGCAAAGATAAGAAAACAGATGCTGACGTAAAAGAATGGGCGAGAGCTCAGGCGCAATTGCAGGGGATTGTGATTGGCTAAAGCGAAAGGTGTGAAACCCAGCTTTCAATCCCAGCTAGCAAATTGCTAACTGTCCCCTTTTATGATTTTGTAATCTAGGAAACACAATCATTATTAACTAGCAACAAATTAAAGGTGACGATAAATACTTGAGTTGGCTTCAGTAGTTCAGTGAGGCAATTGACCGAACAACTGATAGGCGCACATGGGCCTTCCACACAGCCGGCCAGCCAGCACGTTAGATATTTTATTCTTTATAATTGTACTTCATGCGATACGAGTGTAGAAACTGTGTTCAAAAGACAGCTGACAACATGAATCTGTTGAAACAGATAGCGGGAAAAAGGTGAATGCCCTTTTTCCGTATTTTTAGAATCTGAATCAAGAATGCACATGGAGTCTCGGGTGATTTGGAAGAAGCAAGGAATATGAGAAGAGGGGTTAGGTTGAACTTTGAAGAGATGCGAAAACGAAGGAAGGGTAGTTCCTCTTCTCTCCGTCTCGTCAGAGAAGATAGGTCGGAGTTAGGAGGAAGGGAACAGAGAGAGCAACGACTGGGGAAGAAGAAACAGCTGCCGTGCTCAGCACAAGTCTGATGATTTCTTCGTCTTAGCGGAAGAGAGAAGTCGTTCGGTTCAAACCCTTGGAACTGGGATTTGGTGCAAAGATGCTAGCGCCAGCGAGGTAGAGAAAGTGTCATGCCAAAGACCAAAGTTGTGAAACCAGTTTGTATCATTGGACCGGTATAGTAAGTGGAATTGGTTTGGGATAAAAAATGTAGATATATGAAAAATCATTAACATCAAAAGAATTTACTCATGTATAAAATATATTAAAAGATAATTTACTTACAATACAAATTTCATATTTAAATAAAATATGACATTCTAAATAAAATAACAAATATTCATAATTAAATACAACATTTTACGTTAAATTCTAAACGTTTGTACTTCAATCCAATATGTAACATCAACAATTAACTTTTAAATTTATGAAATAAATAATAAATAAATTTTTTATTAATTAAATTCACTAAAAGGACATCATCTTGTTTAGAGGTTGTAAATCGATCATGTTGATCACACCAGTGGTATTCACCCGAATTCCAAGAGCAACATCGGTTAAATCAGGTTCAACCGACCGACATTCTCCGGGTGAGACAACTACGGTTTATGCCAATATCATCGTAATCAAGGTTGTCAAATCGGTTTATACCGTTACATCGGTTTGACAAGTGGTGTATGGTTCCACTAATGGTACAACCGTTTTATATCAGTTTTAGTAAAACATGTAAGGAAGTGGAAAACATTTATACTAAACTAATATAGACATATATGGGGAGTTCTACGGTACCCAGGGTGAAATCCGGGGTACCGCATACCTTGAGTAAGAAAATGTTATCCAGAACTTGAATTGACTGATCGTTCAGACATGATACTATACTCTAACCCTTAAAGATCAAAATCTAGGTCTTGATTCTCTAAGTCTTATACCCCAAGATCAATTTAATTAGAAACAATAATCGACGGTTATGATTCGTCCAAATATAGGCAAAAAAATCAATGCACCATTTTAGGGTTTATAGTTTATGATTTAGATAATTAGGACCTAGGGTTCACTCATTAAGGGTTATGGTATAGTATAATGCCCAAAAAATTCAGCTAATTCGAGATTTAGATAGCGTTTTCATACTCAAGGTATGTGATACCCCGGATTTCACTCGAGGTACCGTAGAAGGCACCACACACACACACACACATATATATATATATATATATATATATATATATATATATATATATATATATATATATATATATATATACACTCTAAAAGTGTCCATATTACATCAAATTTTGAACTTTAATTAGTACTCTCAATCTAATATGATGATATGACATAGAATCATAACAAATCAATTTATTACCCTAACCCCTTCACCTTCAATTTTGAATCCCAATCCAAAATCCAAAATTTTAAACCTAATCCCTAAATCCTAAATCCTTCAAATTAAAGTAAATTTTGAATGAATTTTTTTCAAATTCATGTGCTTCTTGTTCATAATATCATAAGTAACAATTGATACCGTTTTGACATGAATCACATGCTCAGAATGACAATTATGAGGCGGGTGTACTGAGTGCACCCAAAAAAGTGGGTGCACTGAATACGCCACCATATATATATATATATAACATATTTGAATACAATCTCTCTAAAATCTATATTCATATTAAAATAAAATAAAATACAACATTTCAAACTAAATGAAAATTCTCATATTTAAATACAACATTCAACATACAAACGTTTATAGTAGAATCCAACAAATAACATCAACATTGAATTTTCAAATTCAAGAAACAAATCAATTTTGTTTAATTAAATTCACCAAAACGGCATCATTTTGTTTAGATGTCGAAAATCGGTCATGCTAGTCATATCGGGAGCATTCCAACCTGTTTTATAACCGGTATCAATTTTACCCGATTGTAACTGTCGACATGCCATCAGTATGAAGATTTGCATATATTTGAGCAAAGCTTCTCTTAAGCTTGGATTGTGTGTTACATCTGGTGGTGCTCTGTGATTCCCTGCCATTTTTCAGACTGCTAAGGTACAGACAACTGGTCCAAGCACTAATGTTTCTGAAGGTTTGCAAGAGACATACAACACTGTTCTTTGTATAAGTGGAACAAGAGGAAGAAAGAAAGATGTAACCTGCTCTTTCATTAATTTTTATTTACATTTCTACCAATCACAGTTCAATGAATCATCCCCTGCATCCATTTGGAATCAGACTTCAGCCATATATATGGTTACTCTATTTCTACATCCACGCTGACACAGCAACAAATAATTAGCGCAAAAGATGCTTCTTACCCTGGCAGTGGAGCCCTCACATGAATTAAGCCATCCAAGAATCAGTCAGCCTGCAGTTATGGAAAGCACTGAGAATTGGTGTTATTATGAAATTCCCTTAGCACGTGAGAGCTTAGCCTTTATGTAGCTGGATCCGGGTCACTTGATTTCTTGTATTCTGGCTTCAGCTCATACGATCCTTGGTTGCTGCCCTTATTGTTGTAAACGCAAAGCTCCTTCAGTATGTCCTTCAGAAATAGCTGCAAGAAAGAGGAGAGATTGAAAAACAAGAAACCAACAAAACAAACTTTCATTGATTCCACAGGGTGCTTCTGCAGAAGACCAGAGCAAGGACACATTTAATACCAAAGCCATCTCGGTTCTGTTGCAATTTACAAAGTGTGTTGTGCGTGAGAGAAGGGCATCAGGATTAATTAAATCCATGGAAAGAGTGGCATGAACCAAAAAGAAAAGGAAGCAAAAGGCAAAACATACTTCAGGTTGATCAGTTTCTTGTATAAGTTGTCTCAATGTCCAATTTGGTTGCCTTTCGAATAGCTTGAACATGATATCTTCCATCTCTCCACGGTCTCTTCTTGTCCTTTTAGTTTCAGATGCTTTGGCTGGCGGCTTCTTCTTTTCCTATCACGGAAAAGATGAAAGTTTTTTCTTATCCAGTCTCCCATGTGCAAAACTGGAAAAGCTTGAGACTGCCCTCGGGTCAGGCAACACCATTCTAAGACAATCTTATTTACAAATGTCAAGCTCAAAAAGAGAAGTTGGATACATGTACGGTAAAAGAGGTTGTCATCATCCCGGGCATAGGCCTCATGTGAGTTCCTTTGTCATTATCAATGACCTGAAATGAAAATGAAAATGAAAATGAAAAGAGGGTTCAATGTAAAAGGGAGAACATTATTTGGTTGAACAATGAAGCTTCCAATGTAACAAGGATGACCTGGATTTGCCTATTTCTGGTCATGCACTTCTTCGTCCTCTCACGACAAAGTTTTCCATAGTTTTCAAGACTCTCAGTATGTGGCTTCACGTCAAATTTGTTCAGTATTTTCCCCTCCACAAAGACCTTTCCTGAGAAACAGTAAACCTGTTATTGTAAAGAGTTTGTAGACTTCATGTTCAACTCTCTTTAAAGTTGACAAAACTATCTAGCAACAAGTAGCATGTACAGAATTCTACAGTTGCACAATGCTACTGTGATATCCCGAGGAAGTGAAAGGAAAGACTATATCCTGCTGATGCACTTGTAGTCGTATACAGGTTCCCACGTGCACACATTGTCATTGGTTTGCTGGTTACCACATTTTACCTCCCAAAGTGTAATATGATACATTATCTCCACAAATCTGACCTTAGCCATACTTTCCACTATACTAATAGGAAGTAATAGTAATGAAGCAAGTCTCGGAATGATAGATTCTATTTGTTCAAATTTTCTCAAAGCAAGAAACTGAACCCAATTTCCAATGTTCCATCAATGTACAGTCGATATACTATGGTATGAAGACCACAATTCAACTTCCTAACCTGACAGTTTCTTGACCATTAATCATTTTTCTAAGCCATGCTTTCTAACCTGACAGTTTCAAATACGGAAACTCATCAACAAACAATTTTCCAGAACCTGAAAGACCTGTATACAATGTAGGCCATTCACCATGTGAACTACTAGAACATGCAAAGGCCAAGGCCATACTTCTAGAAGGGTAAAGCAATCTCAATCAAACAAAACAAGGGAAGACATAATCATCCTAAAAATCAATGGAAGCAATCATCATTCTCTCCAAACACATAAACCTCAAAACCAAAGAGGAGTGTGGAAAGAAAGAACACTGACCTTGAGGTGACTCAGCAAATACAGACATTGGAACAAAGTCCTTAGACATATCCAAAGTGTATGATTTGGGTGCATCTCCCGATTCCGTGGCAGCCAATTCCATGGTGAACTGAACAACATTTCATGAAAACAAACGGGGGTTTCATAACTGTTGTTAGCATGGATGCATATGCAGGGATTGCTCAAAACCAAAATGGGGGTAAATTTCCAGAGCCAATTGCGTTACATTGGTGCCAAATTACACTAAAAAGAACTCCATTCGCCATATGTCCAATCCCTAGAAACCATACAGCTAAAGCAGAAGGACATGAGAAAATTCCAATGCTGCGGTACAGGTGACGAAATCACTGAACAGATAGCGGCAAACGAATACGTGAAGAGCGAAGAGAGGGTTTGTACGAAGGAGAGACAGAGAGTGAAAGAAAGAACCTCAGTAGAAGACTCGTCGTCGTTGGAGTTGAGAGGGTCGACGGAGACGACGACTTTGGCGACGGGACGAGAAGGGTCATCGGGGAAGGGAGAGCGAAGGGAGCGAGAGACAAGAGAAGGGCATTTCATGAGCCACACCGACCTCTCGGATTTGGCCGTCTCCAAAAACCCTCCGATCACCACGCCTGTTCGGTTGCTGTTGTTGTTGCCATTGTTGTGCTTCTGGCCACTGTTGGTGGTGGTGGCGGCCTTGCCGGATGCTTCTTCCATGGCGGGAGAGACGGAAAAGGGTAACGAGAAATGGACAAAAAAGTGAGAAAAAACTTAAAATGAATAAGTAACAACTTTTCACATAATTAACATTCTGATCAATTTTTTATTTAAAATATTATGACCTAAACTATATATTAAAATAATAAAATTAGTTAAATCTGAAATTAATTATTATTTGGATGATCAAATGCGACACTTCACACACCTATCAAATTAGCACTTTTCACTTAATTTTTTTTATATTTTTCACCTCTTACTATTTATTTTTTTCGTTTTTTTATTCAAATGACGTGTTTTATTTTACTATTATTTTTTTACGGTACAACGTAAAAGGTTAAAAAAAACAGATGCTGCCAAGGCCCAAGGCACGGCTTGGCTCGTAGCACCACGCTTCGCCAGTTTGAGTTCTAACTTTCCCTTCCCATTCCCCCGTCGAAAGAGTTGGAGTAGCCCGCCCAGAAAGGAACAGGCAACTCAACCATCTCCCTGCGCCTTGTAACCCCGTGGTATGCTCTGGATCCACGATTCGGTCTCTTTTCTCCACTTTACGCGGCCTCTCGTTCGCTCGCATAAAGTCCTCGACTTGTTTAATCGGTGGGAACTGGTTCTAATTGTTCATATAGTCTTTGCTACTTGGCTTCAGTTCACGGTTCGTGTAGAATGGTTGGTTCATTTCTTCGTAGCTCTCTTTGGCGAAACATGATTTCATTAGTTTTCCTCTTCTCTTTTCTATCTTCCGCCCAAGCCAGAAAAAGAAAAACCCCTATTGATAATTGATTGACTGTGGATATTACATGTTTTGTTTGCATAATGTGGATTCTTATTTGCAATGGTGATTAGAAAAGTATGTATGAATGTTAGAAAGTTCACAACTTTCAGCATTCTCAATTGCTTTTTAATTCCCCCCATGCTTGTAGTGTTCATGAATGGAGTCTAGATATATGGTAATGGAATGGGGATGATGAAAAATATAGGGTAAGATGGAGAATCTAGATGCAAATCAGCTTCCTGAAGTGGATGCAATGCCGGATGGATTTGTTGACAGCTCCAGGGAGCCTGTGGCTCCTGCAACCCCAACTGTAGAACAAGAGAAGCCACGGAGCCATAACACCGAAGAGGATACCATGTCTGATCTTCATCATGCTAATTTGGCAGCAACGCGGGAGCTCTCGAATGAATCGACGCCAAGTCAGGCGCAGAGAACGGAAAAGACGCGAACTTTTCCTGTTCCGCTGTCTGAAACTGATTCGTCTGAAGGTTCAGGCCATGTGACAGAACTTACCCCTAAAGGAGAAGAAGATATTGTAGGGGTCCCTAATTCAGTGGATCAAGTTTCTGAAGCTTCACCACCACCTGGAGCAACCAGCAATGAGGCAAAATACGGTGTTTACAGCGATAGTCAAAGTTCACCGAGATGTAATTGTCCTTTTTTCCATTGCATTTTAGTTTTCCTCGAACTTTTTTTAAGTTCATGGTGTGGGATTGTTTGTAATCTGTTAATTTCCTCTTACAGCTGTTCAAGCAACTTCAGACACGCATGCGGGTGCGAAAGAAATATCTTCCTCAGAAAACATTGAGTTACCAGGGAGCAGAAAACACGTTAAGTCAAATATCTCTTGATTGTAGAATTCAGCTGGTAACACATATTTAGAAAGGAATTTTTCTTTCTTCATTTGATTAATCGATGTGCACGTCATTTGCCTCGCCCATATTCTCATCCAGTGGTGCCTAGAATTTACAGCCTCTATTCAGGTATCATCCTGGTCTGAGATTGGTAGGACATGCAATAAACAGAACCCATTTCTTGTTTCGGGAAGTCACTGAATGACTTATATTTAACCTAGCTTATAGATTTAGCTCTGGTTCTCCAAGTAGTTAACAGGTTGTAGTTTACCTTCTTTCATTCTACCTTTTATGCATATTTATGTTGAGTGACGGATTTTGGTGACAGCTTGACACTGAAAAGTTGGTGTGTTTATGGTTGTCAGTGATCTATATGCTTTTACTGTTAATATGGCATATTGATAGAGATCAACCATCAAAAGGTTTGTATTTAACTCATAATGATTCTTGGTTACAGGAAACTTCTGAAACTAAACGCAAGAATGTTAAAAAGACGTTTAAATCAGAGAGTGAATTTCTAGAGTTCACTTTGAAGTATCAGCAAGTCCTTTCCGAAAGAGATTCTGGTGAGTTTTGAGGTCTTCAGTGGTTGGAAAGTTTGCTATTGTGTCGTTTAATGAACATATAAACTCCTAATCTCAGAATAGTTATCATTTGTAGTAGTTTTTATTGTCTGGTTTTCTCGATTTAAGACCAGGTCATATTTCTAGATACTATTTTGCTCTTTTTCTTATTTCATTAAGTGATTGGTTTCTGAAATATTCTTAGTACATTTGTTTTGCTGTTCTACATTTCATATAAGCTTAGCCAGAGAAATTTTAGTATGCAAATATTAGTGCCTAAGCAATACCCAAGTAGATTGAACAGTTTGCTATAGCTTGTTGTTGAAGATGCTTTTCTAGAATTGCTAGTCAGATATTTCATTCTAATGATGGCCTTGTCAATGTGAGTTGGAAATATACTGACAATGTCAAAAAGTGGATGCTTTGCTGCTATATTATAGGTACCATAAAAATGACTTTATCCATAGCCTCCTGTGTTTTAGAAGTTGGTGGATGAAGTTTTACGTTGGTGATTATGTGAACCTTTTCTATGGATTTTTTCCTTCAAAAGACTCACAGCTATCTAACCAAATATGATAAATGATATTCTCATTCTTGATGTATGTTTTTGCAGCTATCATCGTCCGTGATAAGCTTGAGTCACTGTGTAGGGAGTTGCAACGTCAGAATAAAGTACTAATGGTATAGCCCTACTGCTTTGCCTGGTTCACTTAAATCTACATCTACTGAAAATAACACCATCAAGCATAGAACAATCATACTAAAACAGCATATAAATTTGGCTCTTGTTAGTGGTGCCAATCTTCCTATTTGCTTTTGCTTGTTTGCAGAGAGTTGTGTCAATGATACTTCCATTGGTTGTTTTTTTCTTCTTTTTCTTCTGTAAGATTGGCTATGACTGATACTGTGCTACCTAAAGCCATTGAAAGCAAAGCTACTCTTGATTATTGATTTGCAGGAATCATTCAATGACCTTTAAACTTCCTGAGATATTGTTAAGAATTCTGAGATGTAGTTTGTTTAACTTCCTAAGATCAAAGGGAGGCTTTGTATTATAAATGGGAAAGAGGAATCTTTCTATACTCTGCACTAGGTAGTCTTTGATGGATTTGTGATTTGACAGGATGAGTGCAAAAGAGTATCAAGCGAGGGACAAAGTTTGAGATTGGATCTTTCTGCTAGATTTGAAGATGCAATTAAGGTTTGATAGACACGTTGAATTTTTATTTTGTTCATGTGAGCATATGGTCTGCATCTGAATAAGTTTCTTTTTTTAATTAGGATGTGAGCATTAAGCTGGATGAACAGAAGGAAGAAAGTCTTTGTCAGCTGAGGGAAAATGAGATGTAAGTTATACAAAGTCCACTTTGAATTTGATTTATATACGGTTAGGTGACATTCTGAACTTCAGGACAACAGTTATATGGGCATGATATTTAGTGGACTTTTGTTTAATGTAACCTACTAACTAGTATTCTTTCTGGTTGTCATAAATGGAGCAATATTGTCAGAACAGCCTGTAGTAATTCTTAACCCCCAACTTTACTACAAACTTTGTTTTTATATACAAATCTATGGTGTCTTTGGGGTTTTTTTACCCTGAAAAAGGTCGTATCTTGTTTAGTGGAATGTAAACGTATAAAATATGAATAATGAAGATCCTTACATGACTGCCCGATTGCCCGTTTTGTAGGTTAAGAACCAAGCTGAAGCAACTTTCCGAGCAGTATACGCTTTCCGAACAGCAATTTGCCCAGAAGGTATCAGCTTACCAACATTTTTACAAATTAAATAAATTACTTACTGGTTTCATCATATTGAGTTTATGTGACTAATGTCTCCAATGAATGTGTCTGCAGTTAAAACAGAAAAGCCTGGAACTTCAGATCTCTGATCTAAAGATCAAGCAGCATGAGGAAAAATTAGTCCAGGAGCAGTCGCAGATGAAAATTTATGCTGAACAGGTGTCACAGTTACTGTCAACCGAAAAGAATTTGCGGTTGCAACTGACAGCGGATGGGGAGAAGTTCCAACAATTCCAGGTCAATATTCTTCTTATGCATGGTTGTTACTTGGATCCTTTAATCTAAACAAGAAATAATTGACAAACAAGAAGATTGGTGGTCCAAATGTGAAAACTGTCATCTCTTGTTTAGGTTCGAGGTTTAGTTCATGACTGTTCCCTTTGGGGAAAACGTATATTTCCAAGTTTCATTTTCTTTCATGTTTCCAGGAAGCATTAGTGAAAAGCAATGAAGTTTTTGAAACATTCAAGCAAGAGATCGAGAAGGTATGTTGATGTTTACCTGCCAGAAACTTCATACAGGGAGAGAAATGTTTTAATCTTCTCTTGTAAGTACATGGGGGATGATATATATTATCATGATACTAACCTGTCTGTATATCTATTAGATGGCTAAATCCATAAAGGAACTGAAGAAGGAAAACACGTTTTTGAAGAGTAAATGTGACAAATCAGATGTTACTCTTATTGAGCTTGTTGAGGAGGTAGGTGCCTTTTCTTTCTGTTTGAATGTTTCTCTAAATTTATTTCTCAATCAAATATACCTTTGGCTCGTACCACTTCACAAATATCAGTTCTGTTAGCCCAGGCCTCTTTTTCAACTCATATACCTTAATACTTTTTCTCTTGGTTGAGCAGCGGGAAAGAATGAAGAAACAACTGGAGAAAACCAAGAACCAGAAAGAAAAACTGGAATCATTGTGCAGATCACTTCAGGCGGAAAGGAAGCAGAGTTCTGCTGCTACTGTGACAACTACTACAAGCAATGACTCTGACCCAGTTCCAGACAGTTCCATTGCAGCAGCTCCTTGAGCCGGGTTCTGTTCCATTTTCCCAGGCCAGCTCCCCTTCATTTGGCTGGTCTAACTTGCTGGGATCAAAATGTAACTGCTTGTATGCCCTCCTGGTTGTGTCCAACTAAGCATACGAAAAGAGAGTGGAGACAATGGTCCTTGTTTATCTTGAGACGCTGGCTTCCGTCTTTCAGTATAGTTTAGGAATGCGGAGGGGACACTGGAAGCCCCAAGCTGGAAAGACCACCTATACTGTTGTGTTTTCTTGAATGTGTAGTTGGTGGCTGGTGACTGGTGAGTTGCTTGATTAACGAGTTGTTTTGCTCATACTTTTGATTGCTGACCAAATATCTGCAATGAAGGAATCGAGTCAATCGTATTCTTGCGTTCTCTTCTTTCGGCAAGATTTATTAATGGTTATGCCATATGACTACAATTTTCTTTTGTATGCTGTATGATTTTGCTTACATTCGTCATCAACCAATAACGAAACTGTAGGCAAACGATTCGACAGTTTCGGTATGCGAGTTTAAGCTAAGGGTATCTTGAATCAGCAGTCCATCCGCCATGATCATAGCTCATGCCAGCGGGTTCCTCTTCCAAACACTGTTGTTTCGTGGTCGAATGGAAACCAGCTATGCATAAGCAATCGACCACTGCCATTCCGCTATTAATGCTTTTTTAGACTTTCCTTTCTTTGGATACAAAAACCTGGCTAGTCTCACTCCCAAATGTGAGTGCAAAACTACAAATTTAGCTCTAAAGCTTCTCACTTGCAGAAAAAATACTTGTTTGACTGGTCACCGATTCTATTTATATCATGAAATGAAACAATAATGGAACATCCAGAGAGGTTCGAAGTCCGAACTCATTTGCTATTGGGTTCAGAACAAACGGAAATATAGGCCAGCCCGAGCCGAACGATATGGGCCTTGCTTGGCTCTTTGGCCCGTTTCCCGTCTACGATTGACAATCTGAAATTGTGGAACCAAAAACCTTGGAACCATGGCTGTCAAAACCCCTGCCCTGAAGTCGATCTCTCTCCCCGTAAACAACTATCCTTGTTAGAAGCTCCTCTCCACTGCGAATCAAGGAATTTCGACCAGGAAGCGAAGAAATGGGACGGGCACTTCTTCTCCATTTGGTTCGATCTCAAACCAGATGCATATCTTCTGCCACCAACAGCTTACCTTCAGGTTTGTTACTCTTCTCGTTTCTCACCTAACCTAAAGCCCTTTTACTGGAATTGTACCGAGGAGAAGAAAGTTTCGATCTTTTCTTATTCTGAAGATTTTATTTGGTTTGCTAACCCCTTCTGCTGACAAGGTCCTTTTGAGTTGAAAGGTGAACAAAACTTTTGGACTTGTAATTCTCAGATGTGACCATTTTGAGCTGGTCTCTTGGGGTTTTTTTTTTTGGTCTGTCAGACTTGTGAGCAATTGAGCATCTCCTGTTTCTAGTTTAAGTCAGGGTAGTAGTGTTATCGATATTGGTTTCATGTTCTTGTTGATAGGATGTCCTGATTAGATTCCCCTGGTGTAGCAGCCATGATCTTCTCCTGGTTTTTGCTTGCAGTCTGCAGATTAGGATTTTGTAACCAGTGTTGTGAGCTATACCTCCCAGTCACTTCTCATATAAAATTCTGTGTACAAAGGAAAATGAATTTACCTTTCAAGAGTTTTCAGAATCATAGAGTGTCCATTCCGTTCCATTCTTATTATCAATGCACAGTGTTGGACCCCTAATTTGGGATATTCGATTATTTTCTACCGCCTAGCTAGGGTTTTTTCCCTTCCTTTACCTTGACAAGTTTGGTTGTGCTAATTCTGCTTCATGTTTCAAGTTACCCCATGCCCAAGTTAGCGTTTAAGTTATACATACCAAATGTTTCGGTCATGTAAACCTCGCTGGTTACTGTTGTCCTGACCCGGGTTCAACCTAGTGTGACCTTTGCCTTGTGCTAGTAATCCAACTATATCTGTTGTCTCACACCAAAAATGTGTCTAATTTGCGTATCAAGTACCGAGCACGCTCTGGTTGATTTTCCATGATGAATTTGAGTTCATTTAACATGTTTTTAATTTTTGCCCCTTATTTTGTTCTTGTGATGTTCCTATAGTTAGGTGCATCATTGTTTAGGAACATTCTGTGTCTGCATTATAGTTCCAGAATCTTTACTTTTCAGCAACCAAACACTGGCTTATCAGAATTTACATCTCTATGTATATCCTCCTCTTTGTTTTGAAGGTGTAGACTTCTAACTCCTTTTTGTTGATTCCATCCCTTAATTAGGTTATCAACCTTACAGGACCATCACATGGTTGCACCATCCAAATGCTAGACCCAGCTTCAGTCCTTTCTCGGTGCAGAAAAGGTGGGCATCTCAAGCTGCTGCTGCTGCTGAAGAAGATGATAGCAGGATCAGCATTGGCCCACGCAAAGATAAATCACCTGGAGAAGACAAAGACGATGAAGACGAGACTGGGATTGTTTATCGAGGTCCCATATCATCAACAATCAAGAAAGTGAAGATGCTATCACTCTCCACCTGCTGTCTGTCGGTCTCCCTTGGACCAGTCATCACCTTCATGACATCAACAGATTCGAACGTGATCCTGAAGGGTGCCGTTGCATCATCAGTGATCTTCTTCAGCGCCTCGACCACTGCCCTACTGCATTGGTTTGTCAGCCCTTACATTCACAGGCTGCGGTGGCAGCCTGGTTCGGACAGTTTTGAGGTGGACATGATGTCTTGGTTGGCTACATATGCCAAAGAGACGATCAGGTTTGCAGACATTCGTGTGGCAGAGACCAACCGTCCCTTTGTGACTTTTCAGGCTAATGGGAAGTTTTACTTTGTGGACAAAGAGCACTGCCACAACAAGGAATTGCTTGCCAGACTTGCCCCGCAGAAACGGGAATCAGCATTCAAGAACTTGTAACTGGAGAATTGCCAAACCATGCTTGCAATATGTACCAGCTCTTGATGCTTGTAGGTTGTAGCTAGCCTTGATACTTAATGCTGCCCAATTCAAGGTTTTGGGTTATGACTATAGTTTGAGACTGTTCAAGAAGCAGGGAGATTAGGGAATTATTTATGCAGTTGTATCTCGCTGAGTTGCTAAAGTTTTGCTGGCGGTTAAGAATCTTTGTTTGAAGACATAGGGTCGTTTGCTTGATGGATTTGGGTCATGGATTTGGGACTCAAATCCCAAGCATGATGGATTTTAGCCAAGTTCATTGTTTGTTGTTTGGTGTTAAATCCGTGGGGTCCACAGATTTGTTTCCTTTTTTGGATCCAAATCCGTGGGGTCCACGGACTTGTAAATCCCATATATTGGGGTGGGATTTGTAAATCCTTGATGGCTAGTTATATTTATAGCAAATCCATCATAATTATATCATCAAATCTATCATGCAAACAATAGACTCTTCAAATCCATGATGGTACAAATCCCTCATAAATCCAAAGGTTTTTTTGAGCCAAAATCCTCATTTTTCAAATCCAACAAGCAAACGATTAATATATAACAACTGCAATTCTTTTCAAACGATATGTATCTCTCATTTTCACTCCTTTTATAGTGAGGTACCAAAATCCAGAGTCCTAATTTTTATTAAAGAATCTTTTCACTTATACCAACTTTCTTTGTAAATCATCACAAATTGTCAATTTTCGATAAACACTTAAATGTATAATATGTATATTGTATATCAGAGAAGACGAATATCTCAAAATTCATGTTATTTGTCACATAGTAAAGCACGAGACAAGTTTGATTAATTAGCTAAGGATACTAGAACTCTGTTGAATCGCTAAGAGTGTGAGTCTGAAGTCTGAACCAATATGTCTTTGAACATCTTTTTGAAAAGAAAAGGTTAATTGCATGGTTGGTCACCGAGATTACAAAAAAAACGTTTAAGTTTGGTCACTCGAAATATTTAAATCCATTAGTAGTACTTCAGTTTACTGAAACCGTTCACGTTTGGTCACTTTCCATCCAACTCCGTTAACTTTTACTTATGTGGCGGTCAACTTCAAAAGTTGACCGTTAAGTGAGTGATGTGGCAATTAAAAAAATAATAAAATTTAATTTTTAATAATTTCCACCTCATTTCTAACTATTAAAAATATAAAAAAAATTATAAATTATTAAAATTAAGAGGAAACTATAAAAGATTAGACAGTAACGAGGCCACCTAGCCCAATTAGTACGAGACCTTTTGAGGAGGATATCCAAAATTAAAACCGTGCGAGTTTGGCCCAAAGTAGATAATATCGTACTAATGAAGCCCTGGTGTTTAACATATTATTATCTATTGAAGATTGATGGGAGGAAAACATGATGGAGGAACAGTGTCACGTGAAGCGCTCTGGTTAACTGGAACATCAATTTATTTTTTTTATGCTTTTATTTTAATTTGAAGAGTCTAATCTGCCCCTACTAAAATCACTCTAGTTGTAGCGTTTTTTAAGTGACTTCATTGCATATTGTGATGTTACCCTAGGTTAGACACAATTGGTAGACTACGTATTGCGATTTTTTTTTTTTTTCTCTTTTTTTCTTTGTCATATATATACTCGTTACAATAGTTGCTAGTGAGAAGGAAAAAGGTACACGTGGTGGTGCACATGAAGGTTCCAAGTCCAAACATATTATCTTGTCATTCTTGTGGATGTAGGTAAACATCATATCCTCATTGTTATTAACGAAAAATGCTATAGTTCATCTTAAACGCAACAAATGCTCTATCCCAATCTCAACCCAACAAATGGGTGGAGTGGAAACGAGGGTTGGAATATTTTGATCACGAAGCAATACAGCGGGTGAAACTTCCAAAAGGAATCGCATTCCTTCCTAGAGGTCTAATCTCTGAAAGGGGAACAGAGCGTATGAAAGCAGGACAAACAGTCCATGTAACCATCAACAAGAAAAAATTTGGTTCGACACGCACCTAAGATAAGCATCTAAAGCGACTGATCTGATAGTGATAACTTTCATCCACCAAATTTTGGCTTCCAACTTAACTACATAAGCAAAGATTAACTACTGCAAGAATGGACCATGATTAACTGCAAGCACATAAATACTAGAGTATGTAATTATAAGAAATATCCGGGAAGCAAAAGAAGCTCGAGAACTCAATACTCCCGAGCAACCTCCTTAGGAAAAACAGCAAGATAGTAGCAACACAAACTAGACCAATGTCAAGGACTCCGACACGGACACGACAACAAACAAAGACTCAGAAACTCGAAACAGCATCATAACTACACCACCGCCTGTCAAGGACCCAATTCTGTGAATTGCATCCAAGGGACGATGGTGACGACTTAACATTGTACTTCTCAAACGAAACAGAAACACCTCGACCATCAACACGAGGCCTTGTAGAGACCAAGCTCCATTCCTTCTTGTCCGCCTGCACGGTTCA